GGCGGAAAACCTAGTGGAGGAGTTTGAGGTGAAGGAGGACGAGCCGTGGTACGACCACCAGGACCTCCAGCAAGGTGAGGGCGAGGTCGCCCACGGCGGGCGGAGGCGGCGGCCTGGCGGGGAGGGTGCGGGTGCGAAACTGGTAAAAAGTTGCTTTTGCTCACCCGCATCCACGGCGCAGGTGTCGGGAGGGTCTTGAGGGCGAGGTCGCCCACGGCGGGCGGAGGCGGCGGCCTGGCGGGGAGGGTGCGGGTGCGAAACTGGTAAAAAGTTGCTTTTGCTCACCCGCATCCACGGCGCAGGTGTCGGGAGGGTCTCGCGCTCACCTAGCGGCGGGGGCGGCGCTGCCATGCCCGCCCATCCCGCCTGCGTGAAGCCACCGCGCGGGGCCCTCGGCCCTGCGGGTGCGCAGCGCTCATAGCCATCGTAGTGCGTGTCGGGGCTTACCCCGCGCCAGCCACGCTTTCAGGGCTTTCGTGCTTTAGTTGAGCTGGTCCTCACCGCGTTCCTCCGAGGCAGGGGTGCCGGCACCCACCGTAGGAGGCAGAGCAAAAAAAGCTGGCCCTTTAGCAGGCTGCTGACCCCGCCGCCTCCCTCTCTGCGAGCAATACTGCCTTTAAAGGCCAGCGCGGCGCGCGAGCCGCTGCGGTTGTGGCCGGAGTGCCGAGTCCCTGCGCTCGTTCATCCGCACATCTCTGAGAGTAACTTTTGTATCCCATTTTCCTGATGAGGAAAGCGGAGGCCAGAACGGTTACGTGGCTTGCTTAAATCCAAGTGCGAGAGCAAGAGTTTTTGAACCCACGCGGCGTAGTCGCTGCCCGAACTCCTGTCGTTTCCTTACCATTTCCTGTTGTTTTTCAGTGAAGTGTTTAACTGTTTAAAAAACAAGCAAACAGAAAATAGTGATTATGCATAGTTCACCAGATGTCAAGTGAAATGACTTGAGGGCACTCCTGCCTCTACCACTAACTTCAGTTTGCGCTCCAGCTTTCGATTAAAAACGGGGCTGCAAAGAAAAAAACAAGCAAAAAACAGGGCTGCTTCGGATTTCTTGCTGATGGTGTCTCCGTAGGGGGATGATAGAGCAGCCCTCGACTTGGACCCACGACACCCTCCCCTTTTTTGCTTATCAATAGCCAGAGCTTGCAATTGGAAGAACTTTTTATGTGCCAGACACTGATAGGCTCTCAACACCGATGCTCACTTAATCCTCCCCAAAACACTGTGTAGGTAGAAGTAGATACTGTTGGTGGGGGGAGGATTCCCTTTAAAACTAGGGAGCAAACATTCTTAACTACTATACCTAATACTGAATATTCAGGAGGGTTTTTTTTTTTTTTTCAGGCATCTGGTTTCTGCAGTTCTTTGTAAATCAATTATTTCAGCTCTACACTTTGTAGTGAAAATTAACATCTCATGTAGTTGAGTATTAAATGATCATGATGCTTGTTCATGGTAACTATTGAACTTGGCAGAGAAAAGAGGAACGTCAACTTCCATGACTTCATACTTGAAAAAGGAAAATAAAACAAGCACCTTTTTTGGGAAAGGTGATTTCTTAAATTTATATGAATCCCTTAGACCAAAGTCATTCATGTTGTGCTGATAGAGTTTAAGCTGTTGAGCAGTTACAGTGCAGTATTTGCCATCATGTTCTCTTTATCTAAAGAGAAATTTGCCATACATTTTAACAAACCTGTTTTTGGATTTCCCCATAAGGATTGATGGCCTAGTTTGATACTTTCTCCAAGATTAATGAGGCAACCTCCATGCAATCACAATGTTTAAGTTAAGCAGTCTGTATAACCAAAGCTAAATATTTTTCTCTCCTGTATTTAAATAGCATAAATCTTTAAGGGCATAGAAGGCCATGCTGTCTTTTTGTGTCTAGCATTTAGTGTAATATTTGGCACATAATAGAAGCTCAATTTTCATATTTGTTGAACAGATCTGAAGCGCTCTCACAGGATTACTGTTTTGCATGGCTGTGGTCCACACTGAACTCTCCTCCTGTGGGAGGGTGTTAGGAACAACCAATTGTAATATTTCCGTCTACTGAGAAGCAAATGCAACATCCTGGAGTTACATGTGGAAATTCTCTTTAACCTCTGGCCAAAAGGAAGTCATTAGATCTTTAAGTTTAACAAACGTTAGACATAGGTCTGGACCTCTTTACTGCTAATTTGCATTTGGAATGTGTCCTATGCTTTTCAAAGGTCTCTTCATTATCGCAGTGGACTTTGACATCACCCTCTGTGTCATAACCAGTGATGTGGGGTAGGAATAAAAGATGTGAAGTTCTAACAATCATAACTTGTGAATATGATCTCTAGAAGAATAAAGGCTGTAGTGTGAATAAAAGGGTATCTTTTCCCAGGGACAAGCAGTTGGCGTAATGGCTATGTTGCTGGACTCCCACATAGTCGACCACAGTTCAAGTCCCGGACCTGGTGGCTTAAACTCACACCGGGCGCATGTGCGTGCATGCCCAAGATCCCGAGAGGAGAATGAAGGAGAAGGGATTGTGGCGTGGCCATCCTCCCTGGGGGTTGGTTTCTTGCTTTCTGTCTCTCTGTCTCTCTTTGTCTTCATGGCAAGCACACGTGCCCTATACCAAAAAAAAAAAAAAAAAAAACTTCTCCAAAAACAAAACAAAAGGATATCTATCTGTTGCCAGTTTTGCTAAATTTTATGTTAAAGAACTCATAAATTTTAACAGTTGTTCATTTCTCAGAAGTTCATTATCTGTGCCAGGTAGACATAGGTACTGTGACCAGCCACCACATTAGACTATGTGATAGCATACACAGGATTCCATCTGGAGTAGGTGTTCAAGCAAATCTATTTACTGGAGAGGCCTGGAAATGCTACTTCAAAGCATGTGCCCACCACGGTGCCTGGCACTTGGGTCCTCGGCAGATAGTCACTTCTGGATAAAGTTTAGGAGCAGCTCTGTCCCCTTAAACATAGCGGCAAGTCAAGTGGGATTTTATTGTATAGACCTCTGTCTGTTTTTAACATCCTCAGATTAACTGAACAAGGCTTGTCAGGGGAGATCTGCTTAGCAGAACTTTTAAAGATCTTGTTCTTAAAGTCTTAATGACAACATTTTTCTCCATTAGGAGTAGAAGCTATTATCTAAGTAAACTGAGTCTTTGTATTAAATTTTCCTTTTTAAGTTAATATTGCTTGGATAATTCTAACCTCAGTGGACCATGGTCTACTGTTCATACCTTATTAGAAGCATATAAAGCTGAGTACAGGCAGAGGGGAACCCTTTGCTTTTACAAAACACTTTGAAGAAGACGCTGTCTTTTGTCAGAGGCCCGAGTTGGCACAGTAGGAATACTGACAATAATCTCTGTGGGTAAGATCTTTTCTGGGACAGCAGGAGTCTACTGTGCAGGTAATGATGGTGCTTGCTTTGAAATGTGCCCCTGAGAACAAGGTGGAAAGACTTCAGAGACTGGATTTTCTTTTAGACCAGCTGCCATTATAATTGTTGCTTGGTGAGCTATGCACGCTTAGAATAAGGATTCAGGTTTCTACTCTCTGGATGAGCTAATGAAATCTTAGTTTAAAAATAAACCCTAAAATTTCAGGACAAGTATGTTTTCCTCCTGTACAGCTAATTTGCTGAATCACTGTTTGGAGGGTCATTAAAACTGACACCATCATTTTTCGTGATGTTTATATTCAAGTTTTCTGCTTTCTCAATTATAGTAACGTTGGCAACAGGAATTAAACAGAATCGTCACCAAATGACGCATTTGACTTTGTTATAGGAAAAGCCTTCAGCCATAATATTACTGAATTACTGCAACAGACTGTTGCTTCCATGGGAATACTTTGTTGTCCTCATTTTATTATTATTAAGTTCAAGTAAAATGGAAAAAATATAATGACAGTGGGACTTAAGATTTAAAACTTCTGGAAGAATGTCCTAAAAAAAAAAATCACTTGACTGTTAGTGCTAATTTTTCACCTAAGGGCTAGGGCTGAATGGCACTCTCTGTTTAAAGCTAACAGTTTATACCATTAAAAGTGAATTTTATTAGCTACAAAAATGGATCCGTGAAAAAAAATTAGGCATATGAAGATATTGATGAACTTCAGTTCTTTTTTTTTTTTTTTTGGAGAGATTTTCACTGTAGGGCGCATGCACTCGCCAGACAGACAGAGAGAGACATAGAGACAGAAAGCGAGAAATCACCCCCCA